TCTCACTGGACCTGCAGAGCACCAAATTCGCCCACAAGCTGCGCCACCAGCTCAGCGAAGAGAGCACCACCAGCAAAGATCCATCCGCCTGGTTTAAGCCGGACCCCGACATTTGGACGCCTCCGCCGAAGGATCCCGATGTGTGGGGTCCTCCGAAACCACCGCCCACCACACAGGCCGTGGGACGACGAGCCGCACCGAACAACCGCCGCACTGCTCCGGCCAGTCAGAACAGCCGCCCCAGCAGCACAATCCCACAGAGCACTGCCCGGAATGGTCCGGCCTCCACACGCAACTCCCGTAACTCGACGACGGCCGCAGCACCGAACAGTGCAGCACGCATGACCAACGGACGGGCTGGCGGACGCAAGCTGTCCACGTCGAACAACACCAACGAGGCTAGAGACGACGACTCCACCGCTGCAGGCAGCAATGGCGGAGGAGCCGCTGGCGAGGGAGAGAGTGGCGATCAGCAGGCCGGCCAGGAGGAGGAGCGCAAGTTCCAGCCCAACAATCACATCGAAGCAGAGCTAGTCGACATTCTAGGTAAGTGCATAGTGCAAGTGATCTCTAAAAGTTTGACTGACATAGTAATTAGAAGTTAAAGAAGTTAAAGTTTGTGTACACCCTATAAATTAGAGACTTCTATTTATGATCAGAACAGGAGTCGATTTAGCCATGCACGTCTGTCTCTATGACACTGTTTAGATGCTAGAACTGAAATAATAAATAATAATCATAATTTTTTTTGTTCAACTCCTAGTTGAGAAGGTTATTAGATTTTAAGATTATCGGAAATGCAAAAGTCGTCGCTAAAATCACTTGAAAGTTTTCGTTGAGAAAATTATTTCAGAAATACTAAAGTTGAAGATGTACTGAACAAAATTAACATTATAACACTTACAGTTACCCAATAAAAATGCATGAACCCAATTAAGATTAAAAACTCTCTTTTTTCAGAACGTGATATTCTTCAAAAGGATCCTAAAGTGCGCTGGAGTGACATTGCCGACCTGCACGACGCCAAGCGGCTGCTGGAGGAGGCTGTCGTGCTGCCCATGCTTATGCCGGACTACTTCAAGGTGCGTCACCCTCGCTGTTTGTTTGCTCTGAATCACTTTTTGCCAAAGGCTTATCTACGACCGGTGTTGGGTCAACAAACGCGCTATATTTCAGTGCAGCGTTTGCTGTGCTAAGGCCCTGTTTATTTGATCAACTGTTTGAGCTGCCACGAAATGCAGCGTCTCGCTGCTTTATCACTCTTAACTAGGCGCTAATTTTATATAACTGTCGATGTGTAAAGCCTTTGTCAGTCTGTAGGGCCATCATTATTGCGCCTAGAAGTTTCCATTGTTAAAATGTAGTTGATTATGCATTAATTTCTATGCTTGTTATCTACTCTGCACAAGTGTGCGGTCAAATTTATATCAATCCATAATAGAACTGTCAAACAAACATGTTTATATTATCAATGACGAGATTAACTACTTTCTTGGAATCAGAAATACAAAAACTTACAAATTATCTCCCTTTATTGAAAAGAAAAGTTTTCCATGTTTTCACGTCTGTTATTCATAAGGTTAAAGGGTATATTGTATTTGTTGGAAAGTATCCGTCTATCTGTCTGTCCGTTAGTCCATATGAACGGGGCGATTTGGAAGACTATAATAGTTAGAAAGTTGGAATCAAGCATTCATATTTTAGGGTTTCTGGCATTAGGTATGCCGGAGCGGAATTTTCGGTAAATTATTTTAAGACATAATATTTTTTTTTGTCTCAGCTGTTTCTAGGATAGATATACACTAGTTTACAAAATAATATTCTTGGTGTGCTCCCCAGCAATTGATGGCAAATTCTGTTAGTTTTGGACCCCTAGATCACGAAAATAGCACTAATTTTTTTTTCGATGGCACAGTTTTTTTTTAAAGATTTTTTAAAGTTCGAAATGTTCAATTTCTGACTTTTTTCGAATTTCTTCTTATATCTCGCCAGATATCCACTCGATTGGGCCAGTTTTAGTTTTATTTTAAAGTCAATAGATCAGAGCCTAACTTTGCCATACAGATCAATATGATTGGATAAGTAATGGCAGCGCAGAAGCTCGACAAAGATGAAAAATGTGTTTTTGGTCGACTGTAAGTCGGCTGTATATATCGTAAAAACTCGAAATAAATCCGTTGAAAAATCATAATGGGTACAAACTTAAAGTTTACATCCTACCGAATAAAACAAGCAGGATATGGCCCACATCCATGGAAAACTGGATTTATGGTGGATTTTTAAAGTTCGGATTTTTGCACTTTTTTCGGTTGACAGAGTCCAAATTTAAGATTTATCATAGGCGGCGACATGTAAACAAAAATTAGTGGTGACGGCAGGCGGGTCAAAAAATAGCTAAAATTAAAAGCTAAAAAATTATAACATAAATTTAATTTCTGAACATTCCTTTAAAAATATAAAATTGCTTCCGTTATGACTGTAAGTGTTTTTAATTAAGTACTATCCATTTGGATAGTTCATTCTTATGAAAAAAGTAACCTTAATTTTAAAAATTAAATTCACTTTAATAATTTTCTGGCTTTTAAATATCTGATTTAGCTATTTAGTGACCCGGCTGCCAACACCAATTATTTTTGTTTACATGTCGCCGCCTATGATAAATCTTAAATGTGGACTCTGTCAACCGAAAAATGTGAAAAAATCCGAACTTTAAAAATCCACCATAAATCCAGTTTTCCATGGATGTGGGCCATATCCTGCTTTTTTTATTCGGTAGGATGTAAACTTTAAGTTTGTACCCATTATGATTTTTCAACGGATTTATTTCGAGTTTTTACGATATATACAGCCGACTTACAGTCGACCAAAAAACACATTTTTCATCTTTGTCGAGCTTCTGCGCTGCCATTACTTATCCAATCATATTGATCTGTATGGCAAAGTTAGGCTCTGATCTATTGACTTTAAAATAAAACTAAAACTGGCCCAATCGAGTGGATATCTGGCGAGATATAAGAAGAAATTCGAAAAAAGTCAGAAATTGAACATTTCGAACTTTAAAAAATCTTTAAAAAAAAACTGTGCCATCGAAAAAAAAATTAGTGCTATTTTCGTGATCTAGGGGTCCAAAACTAACAGAATTTGCCATCAATTGCTGGGGAGCATTTCGGCTGTAAACTAGTGTATATCGATCTTTTTTTTTAGATTTTTACTCAATTAAAACCGACCATCTTTACGAATTATATCTCAGGAGTTCCTAGACCATACGGATTTTAATATTAATCAATTTCAATAAATTCATTAAAACGATAGGAATCCAATACTCTATCCAATAAATGAATAAAAAGTCCATGTTACCTCTATACGCGGAAAATGCTGTATATCATTACCCTACCGATCAAAAATGGCCATGCTTAACATTACCCTCGCCTTAATATTTACGAATATGTTTTGAAAACCATGCCAAAAGTTATTCCTAAGCATTAAAGTGTGTATGGGTATCGTAAACTGTCGAGTTTTGAGGGGGCGAAAAGTGACGCAGCCAAACAAAGAAAAAAACATATCTAGTTTTTTGTCGTTAAGGCAAAGGTCACTATTTTCAGAGTTTTTTTTACATTTTTAGTTCAATACTGCAAGTCTAATAAAATTGTTTATAGAATCAGAAGACGTCTTCTTGCTCGCTTCATGAATTTTTTTTTATGAAATTTAAATAATCATTTTGATTTCTTTTTTCTACAATCAGGGTATCCGGCGACCCTGGAAGGGTGTGCTAATGGTGGGACCTCCGGGCACAGGCAAGACAATGCTCGCCAAGGCCGTAGCAACAGAATGCGGGACGACATTTTTCAACGTGAGCTCGGCTACCCTTACATCGAAATATCGTGGCGAGTCCGAGAAGATGGTGCGCCTGCTGTTTGAGATGGCGCGTTTCTATGCGCCCAGCACAATCTTCATCGACGAGATCGACTCATTGTGCTCGCGTAGAGGGTCGGAATCGGAGCACGAGGCCTCACGCCGAGTCAAGTCGGAGCTGTTGGTCCAAATGGATGGCGTGGGTGGAGGAGAGGAACAGGCCAAGGTAGTGATGGTGCTGGCTGCTACGAACTTTCCCTGGGATATCGATGAGGCGTTGCGGCGCCGGCTGGAGAAGCGCATTTACATCCCACTGCCATCGGACGAAGGACGCGAGGCGCTGCTAAAAATCAATCTGCGGGAGGTCAAGGTGGATGATAGTGTCGATCTGACCTACGTGGCCAATGAGCTGAAGGGATATTCCGGAGCTGACATCACAAACGTGTGCAGGTAAACAGGCTCTTGGTTACATTTTATTGAAATATTACTAAATACCCTTCGTTGGTTTTCCAGGGAAGCCAGTATGATGTCGATGCGGCGGAAGATCGCAGGCCTTACACCAGAGCAAATCCGACAGTTGGCGACGGAGGAGGTGGACCTGCCAGTGTCGAACAAGGATTTCAACGAGGCCATGAGTCGCTGCAACAAGAGCGTGTCCCGCGCGGACCTGGACAAGTACGAGAAGTGGATGAAGGAGTTCGGCTCGTCATGATGGCGTTGCCCACGGGAATGGCTAGCAATTGTAGGAATATATATTTGAATAGCCTTAAATACGCGCTTAAGTCATTAAGCTTTTAAAGTGAGAACCGAACCGAACCGAGCCGATCCAAGCCGAACGGAAGAGTTGAACATATTTTATATATAACATTTTGCATATACGATACAATCTATATATTTACATATATATATTGAACTGGAGGCCGTTGGAATTATAAAAGACTAACCGTTCTCAAAGAGGAAACACAAATGCAAAACTGAAATTGAATCGAAGTCGAGAGATAAACAATAACAAACACCCACACACTCCATGAAGCACAATCCTTCCAACTAATCGTTAACCAACAATCACAGTCCCTATGCAATAAGAAATCGCTTTAATCGCCGCCTAGCCTTGGCCCCATTCTCCCACAATATGCACACTCCAAACCTTTTCATTTTTTATCCAAAAGTTTATTTTTAACAAGAAATGTTCACTGTCTAATATTAATGTTAATTTTCGCTTAATTTATACATATAATTATATCATAGTTTAGTGCAGGCAGAGATGTGGAGCACCTCAAATGTTAATTTTAAAGCAGGCAGAGCGTTCCCTCTGATTTGCAATTAACCCACTGTAATCAGAAGAAGAAACTGAAGCAATATGTACTTAAAGTGAGGATTCTGAAATTTTAAACAATAAACACAGTTTTTAACTATAAGATCATACGTGTTTTGAATTCTCTGGGTGCTTTCTGCAAAGACTGTAATTAATCAATGAAACGATCTGTTCAAATTCCAACTGCTGTATGAGTGAATCATGCTTTTATTTTATGAAATTTACGTTCAATAGCGAAACATAAAATTCAACTAGAACCTGGAAACTAATAATCTTGTTCAAAGCCTCCGTAAATTTATTTAGAGGTCTACGACTTATCACGCACTCATTTATCTTACATGGAAATGACGAATCAACGACATTGAAGTTAAATTACAAATGCAAGCACATTTCTTTGTTGAAAGCACCCTTTTGTTCATTTCACTTTAAACAGAATTTATAAACTCGCCTGCTGCTGCTTGATGCGCCATGGCAGTTAGTACGCTTCGAACAGGAGCCGAGATCTCAGTAGGGTCTGGACGGCGGTGGCATGGGCATCATGGGACCCAGGGGGTAAGGGGCTGAGACCCCGGCCGAGGGATAGAATCCGCCGGAGGGCACGTTTCCGTAGGCTGGCAGGGAAGCGTTTGGCGGACCATGGCGCTGTTTGCGCATAAGGTCCTGCATCTTCTCGGCCTTGAGGCGACGCAGGTGCATGGTCCGCCGGCTGGCGAGGAACTCCTCCAGAAAGGGCTCCACCCCAAGATCGCTGTCGTTGAACTTCTTGACCATCTCCTCCGTCTGCTCCTCGCTTTCGGAGGCGGCGGTCTGCAGCAGGGCGAGCGCCGTTTCCGGACCCACACCGCCGGACTTCTCTTTGAGCTGGGACAGCTTCTCCTGGACAGAAGAGCACCTGGTGCGCCCCTCCTCCGAGAGCTCCGCCAGACGACCGCGCAGCTCGATGATTTGGGGCTCCCGCTCGATGTTGCGCTCCGCTCGACTCCGGTTGTCTTCGAAAACGCTGGTCTTCTGGGTTCGCAGCACCTGAAGTACTTCGTCGACTTTCTCGTCCAGCTTGTCGTCGTTGTTTAGCAGCTCCTTCAGTTCCTCAGAGCCCATTGGCGCGATGGAGGCCTGCAATTGGTTAAGGTATTCCTGGTACATCTTCTCCGTCTCTTTGGGTCCTTGCCAACTATCCAGCTATTTCAATTTTGCGACTTTAATTTCAATGACTATTACTGAGTAGAGCTGGGTTGCCAATCGCGATAGTATCGATATGTCGTATATTATATTTTAGCTTGGCGAGGTTTTAATACGGCTATTCAGCTCTATACTGTTGCACACACCACTTAATAGCCTGTTCAGACAGTGTTTCTGCAACAGCGCTAATTCCGAAACATCGACGTTTCTTTCACGTAAAAACAAGAAAGGAAGTTAACTTCGGTAAGACAATGTTCATAAACCCTTGCAGTTAAAATAAATACTTATAGTTTTATGCTCGCTTCATCAGTGCTGCTCCAGGGCGTCCCAAAACATGTGTTTGAAAATCGTTTTATAGGAACAAACGGATATAACTTTTAAAAATTGAAAATATTTTGCGCAGTGTTAAAGCTATTGACAGGAATCATTCCTAATCATAATTAAAAAACCATCAATTCGGTGGAATTCTTTATAATTGTTCAGTTATTTTTGATTTTTATGTATCCACGATAGCTGTAAGCAGTGTTGCAGATGCGGGTACAGGAAAAATATTTTGTGTTTCTTCATTTTTCCTTCTTGTTTTGGATTTAGGCACTTTATTAAATTGGTATTCGAATGAAAAAGACATATCGCAAAAATGCAATTTATGTTGAGAATATGCAAAAAAAAATATGCCGGTTTCTCGAGTCCCTATTAAAGTCCGAAAAACTTAAAGACCAGATAAACCGTTCGTAAAAGCAAGTCGGTTTTCTCGACTCCTTTTATTTATCTGAACGAAAAACAATTACAGAGTGCTGTTAGCGCACTCAGCTATATGTATGCATACTCGTTATAGAATACGTTATAAAAGCTCAGATATGTTTTAAACTATTTTCTTATGCTATTTATTGTATTATTATACAATTGAATTAGGAGAACGCAATTTTTCGTTTATGTTGAGTTGACCAACTGCTCTTCAAGTCAGCAGTTATTGGATGTGGATGGAAACTCTATGGGAACACGAATTTCCCATTGGTCAAAAATCCCAACCGTTTCACACGGATGGATTCTATGGGAAAACGCTATAACAGGGTCTCCGAGTCTGTCAAAGTTAGCTCTCATTATAATTTTTGAAAACTGCCACATTAGCCGACCCACAGAGAAATTGGGATTGGAAATTTTCGATTGGAATATTTTTAAAACAAAAAGATTGTTAAAAACCACACGCAAAAAAATTCTACATTCGCCAATACAACACAAATATCCATTAAATACAAAAAAAAATAAGTTTTCATTATGAGTTTATTTATCGCTTTGGGGAGCAATCTAAGCAGTAGTTAGGATGTTTAAGTACATTTTAGTTGTAATTTTGCTTACAATATGTGACCAAAATTTGTTCTATATTTTCAACAGTCAATTTTGTTCTTTTGTCGGTGAGTAGACGCTTAAATGCGGAAAGGCTTCTTTCAACTTCGCACGACGTCAATGGAGCATATTTATATTTTAAGATATTGTCCAGGTCTAAATCATCAGTCCAAATCAGTTCATCTATGCTGTTAATTGAGCCATTCAGTTTGCAGCCTCAATCCAAGTTCCCCATCTCGTTATTATTGGCTCCGGCTGTAATTCAATATCAAGCATCAATTTGTTTTAAGAGCAACGTTGGGGAGATTTTAGAAATATTTTTTTAAAATCCGTTATGTATTTGGTGACTTTTGGGAAATGTCCTCTTTCTGAGACTCGATGCAATCCGTGGGCCAAGCAGGTCACATGTATCAAGTTTTGATCAGCCTTTATCATATATGTAGGCAGCCGCGTCTGTAACCATAATCAGTACATTTTCATCATTTAGGTCTGGCCATAGAGATCTCAATCCTTAGTTTACAAATCTAGAATTGTACTGTTGTTCACTTTTTCTATTTGACGGCAAGAAATCAAATATGGACGCGTTGACTTCTTCTCATCCAGTGATCCAATTATTAAATTAGCTATGTAGCGTCCATTCCTGTCAGTTGTCTCGTCTACTGATATCCAAATCGCTTTATTCCCAATTTCAATTTTTATTTCTTGAAGGGCTGTTTGATAGCTTTTGTCTAGATAGTGCTTGCGTATAGTACTTTCATCTGGTATGTTTTGATTTGTGTATTTGTGTAAAAAAGTTTTAAAAGTGTTGTTGTTAATTGATTTAAATCAGTGGTCGGCACACACATACGTTCACTTTTTGTTTTATATTTGTGTGTGCAGACCGCTGTTCTACAGTGTACATGAGCGAGCAGCAGCTGGGCAGAACAAAACCCATCGCTCACTTAATAGGACGCTGCCGACCGCTGAATTAAAGTGTCAAAACAGCTGTTCACTATGCCTACGTCACAGCGCACACTATATCCGTCCTCTTCTAGCCGGCGCGCGCAAGTGAAGCGCACAGTGCTTAAATTTGTAAGCAAACGCAATTATTTAAAATTAATAACAAAACAGTAACAAATCTTTATTATTTCTTAAAGATAGAAACATTTCACATTTTTGGTTTGATAGAGATGCTGTGTGTTTTTGAAAAAGTTTTACATATTAATGTCTTTTTATTTGCAACTGCAAAGTGGTGATATTGCCGTGTATCCTTTACAACTACTGCTTTTTTAAAGCGTTTTTCCATTTTAAAATCGTGCATCTTATGTTCCGCCATTGAACAAAAATCAAAATCAATATTTTTGAAATAATCCTTTGCCCAGTCGTACAATTTACGAGGAGTGTTAATCGGATTACCTTCGATCCTTTGTAAGCTCGCTCGATAAGCTTGCCGTTTGACAGCACCACCAATGCCATCGCAAGCGCCTTTTCGATGCGGGGTCGCAAAGAAATTCCACTCCGCTTTTACTTGAAAATCTTTTTCGTGGTATACTCGGCATCGTAGAATCGTACGAGTAGCATCGCCAACAAATTTCAAATTTGACATTAAAAAATAAATTTCAATAAAATTTCCTCTTCTTCTAAAGAATTCGCGGGTACATTTTTTTTAGAATTCGTGAATAGAACAACCATAGTTGAAGACAACAAATCCATATGTGTTTTGGACGTGGTCCTTTATTGGTTCTTCTTCTTCCAAAGAATTCGCGGTCTCATTTTGGTTAAGATTTCGTGTATGTCGGGTTCAAAGACGGTAAAACATAATAAAAATTCTTTTGTTCCAAAGAATTCGCGGTCTCATATTGCACTCATAGAAATTTTCCGGTAAAATCGCCCTAAAAACAAGGAAAATCGCCCTAAAACGGGGGTCAATGGCGACTAGGCAACAAAATTAGGGCAAATTGCCCTAAAAATACGGGTGAATTTGTCACACATTTAGGGCGATTTTTCGTAGATCTAGGGCGATTTTTCTATTTTCAAAGGTAATTGTCCTAAAAATAGGAAATGAGACCCTTAAACTAAAGGCAGTTTCCTTTAAGTCCAGGGCGATTTTTCTGGACTTATAGGCGAATTGCCCTGGAAATCGGAAAAAATACCTTTAAACTAAAGGCAGATTTTCATAATCTAGGGTGTTTTTCTGGATTTTAGGGCAAATTGCCCTAGAAATAAGAAAAAAGACCTTTGAACTAAAGGCAGTTTTTCATAAATCTAGTGCCTTTTTCTGGATTTAAAGGCGAATTGCCCTAAAACATGCAAAATGCCCCCCAAAATTTTAGGCCCATTTTTCATAAATTATAGGTATTATTATAGCTATTTATTGTTATAAATACTATTTCATTATATTTTTTGTTTTTATATTTTTGGTTGTCGTTATTTACATTAACTACAAATATATTTACACAATTTATAGTTATACAAATTTACATACTCTCCTATTATTATTGCTAAATGGATTATATCGGGTTTAAAAATAATAAATAATAAATAAGTTTAAAAGAAACGGCTTCCCGAGTCCGCAATGGTGTGCTTCGCGTTCTTGCTCCCGCCGTCCTTTTTTGTTCTTGCTGTCGGCACCAACACTGAATGGATCGCAAGCCAAATTAAAGTTGATTGTATCTCTATTAAATGAAAACAGTCTAATTATTATATGATAATAGAAAAAAAGAGAAGCACTTACCTTCAGAGTGGCTTTCCAAAAATGAAAGCAGGTTTATTTCCTGTTGCTTCCTTACTCCTGCTTTTAATAAGTCCAAAAAGTGGTTTGCGAAAGCTGGATCTGAAAAGCGTTCTCAATCTAAAAAAAAAAGAAAAAATTGTTAGAAATTAATATAAAAATGCACAACCAACACACACAATTTTCATTTAGCCTGCGATTGCGTTTGCTGCTACTCCTAGAAAAAAAAAGAAGCAGCAAAAGCAATAGAAATTTGGGGGTTGTTTTGGCATATGCACTTGTGAATGCGGTTTGTCCGGTGCATAAATACAAATTTCTTGTAAATATATACATATGTATGTGTGTATTCTGTTGCATCATCTTTTTAACTCAAGCATTATTTACATATACACATACATATATGTATACTCTTATTAATGATCTTACTTTGTTCTGCCACACTTCCAAAACTTCCGATTCTGGACCGACTAGTTGAACAGGAATTTTTCCTCGTAGCTGCTTCCAGTCAAATTTTTTAAAGTTTCAGCTGCATTTTCCTTTGTTACAGATATGTAAATTCAATTAGTTATTAATATCCAAATTGCACAATTAAATATGTATGTACTCACCAGAAAACAGAGAAAGAATCGCATCCCAAGTGCTTAAATAGCGTTTACATTTTTCACTTTTTCACAAACAAAAGGTTTCATACAAACACGTCTTTCACTGCCAAGCGCTCGAAAAATTATGACAAAGTCTAGACAATGCAACTCTTTCTACCCCCACCCTTGCCACTGCAACGGACGAAAAGTAGCAAAGAAGAAGAAAAAGGGTGGACTTATCTAAAGTCAAATGCGCTCAGCATCAAAATTCATAGAAAAAGGTCCGCCCTAATATACACACACATTCACTTGTTTTGACCTGTCAACCACACACACATACACACATGTATTACATATGTATCCATTAATTGCGTCTTAAAATTTCGTTTGACTCTTCCTTGTTTTTAGGGCAATTTCAGAACATTTTTTTTG